ATCACTGGTTCTGTCCCAGTGTTACCAACTTATCGGTTTTCACCCAGTGACCCTCACAAATACAGCTTACAAGTCATCAAAAATCCACAAAGGTTAAATGAGCTCCTTTGTATAAATGCAGCTTATTTAAAGATTCATGAGCAAAATTACTTACATTTTCATGAAATAGCTGCCGATTTAATTGAATGTCATGCCCCCGTCGATTCTGAATGTGCCTGTGAAGCTGCACGAGAATATTGTGTTCTGACCGTGTGCCCTAATTAGGTTGTGTAAGAATGCACGTAAACAGTCTCTAAGTCCAGCCTAGCATAGCCCTCGTGTACAGTGTGACTCTCATCTTTAAAATTTCATGTTAGCCTCCCCGTGCTCCCTTTTACACGGCGCTTACCAAAGTTTTTGGCTCATTCGTGAGCCTCAGATTTAGTCTAATTGTAGCTTCCAGGCAGCGAGACTTAATGTGCCGTCTTGAAGATACTTGAGGCTACCTGGACTGATCCCAGGTTGTTCTAACAAGGTACCGACGATGCATGTAAATTAGCTTTAAAGCCGTTAATGAAGACTGTAATGAAAGGAAAAGATGTTTGAAATCAGGCGTAGTGATGTGTGTAAACATTAAGTTCCTGCAACAGTCTTAACAATTGATTAACGATTAGAATTTGTCGCTTTTAATGTACCTTCTGTTTGTACTTCGGTCTTACCCTTCCATTTACATTTTTGTGTGTTGTTGTTGGTTGTTTTTTTTTCTTCCCTTCACCTTTGTCCTATCCTCCCTTCTGCTCCTCTTTCTGTCTCTCTGCATTAGTTCCAGCTGATTAGTAGTACAAGCAAATGGAAAACAACTAGGGACAATGTTGACAGCATTCATAACCTCGGCAAATTATTAGAGTTTTACAGAGAGGGCTCTGTTTTGAGGAAGGACAAGCCTGGTGCCTCTTAGACTCAACGTTCAGGAGCTTATTTGTCCATCAGATAATATCTCATAATTGGTTAAAACACTTTGACTACAGAGCTATGTCAGTGTTAAGCTAAATACGGCTCAGCTTTGTGCATTGAGTCCTTAATGGGGATGAAATTTAATCAATAAATAATTTGTTATACCATGTGAACCAAAAGATTTAATGTAGTTTTCCCCTTTGTTGCTGGTGTCACTACACTAAAATGAATTAAATAAAGAAAAGTAATATCTCAGTAAGCTAAAGAGTTTCTGCTTGTGTGGCAAACATGCTAGTACAATAGCTGACGTACTAGAATTAGTGGAGGGACGCAATACAAAAAATTACCAAATTAATTAGAGGCTTTGATAATAATTTATTTTTTATTTTTTTAATTGGATTGGATTCTGACTCCGACATGACATTTTATGTCACAAATAAGAATAACGGCGTATTACCTGACTCAACAGTCTGACAGATTGACTACGTTCACACTGCACGACTTGATGCTCAATTTGGATTTTTTGTGAAATCCTTTTTTTTTTTATGAGTTCCTTCACATTTCCAATTAAATGCGACTTGTATGTGAACTTAATACGACCCAAAAGTGTCTCGCATGGACAGAAGAGGACACGACATCGTCACACGCAGCGAGCGTGCTCAGTGTTTATGGAATAAATATGGATGGTAACGATGGAGTGTATCCGCCACTCCACCACCACCACCAATCATGGAAACAGAAGTGTGACCGCTAACTAAACTAGCATCAGCAGCCAAGTACTGCCTGTGTGTTCCGGCTACTTCCACCCCGTCGGAGTGCTCCCCCGGGGTGGAAGTGGTCCCCCCGACTGTGCCAAATATTCGGATATTCATCATTAATTGGATCTGTGCTGTTCAGACTGTCATGAAAAGATCAGATACAGGTCGCATACGACCTCCGTCTTGACAATCCGACAGCCTTGCTATCTGACATAAAAGAAGGTTTTACATTTGGTGTCGGATTATCGAGTCACGACTGGACATCTTCTTCACGGCTGGCAAACAAACTTGAGGTGCATTACCGCCACCTACTGGGCTGGAGTGTGTGCGTCAGTGTTACTGGTGTTATGAGCTATTTTTTCTGTAATTAATTAATCGTAATTAACAGGTTGAAGCACCAGCCCTAATTAGAATATGCGCAAATTGAGGAAGGATTTGGCTAAATAGCGTTTTGCTAATTCACTACCATCCGCAGCTATGCTTATAACATTAAGAAAGGTTAAGCACACTCAATGATACATCATCCCGGCTATGCTTTTATTTTGGTCTTTTAGTTTAAAATTTAAGATGTTTTTAGGCCTCATGTGTAATTGTTGTTATCTGTACTGTGAAGTTCGGTATATTAAACACTATCCCAACCGATAAATATCGGTCGGCCAGTATTTTCAAGCGACGTTGGTTCGATGTGCACTGATATCAGAACCTGTTTTTTTTACAGAGCATGATGCAGAAAAAGTTACGTGTTATAGTGTATAAATGATGTCGAGCACTGACTCCATTGGTTGCAACAGGCTTAGCGCTGTCTGCAGCACATGTAGCAGAGCAGATAGCGGTGCAGAGTAAAGCGGCGTCTACGAGTTAAGTTAATAATCATTTTCTTTTATCAATATAGCTCCAACATACTCAACATGTTGGGTGTCAGCTGGGCTCTCGATGTGACTCCAGAGCCTCGGGGATATGACGAAGCCTTCAATGTCACTGACTAACCAGGAAACATACTGTACCGTTACGAGCCGTGGCATTTCAAAAGGCAAACTTAAATGGCAGTTGCACGGGAAATTACACCGCATGCTTCACAGGAAACACGACTGCACTTACTTTTGATTAAAGGCCTCAGAGTGGGTGAAATAGTATTTCATCACATCAATTTTTATGTGAGGTGTTTTTGTTTTTTTTTGTAGTCATTTAACAGTTACAACTGGCATGATGCTCCCTGAATGTTTTCCACTCAGCATGCTGCGTACAGTACACGGAGCGCATCAAGGTTTTAAGAGTCTGAGCTCGCTGGAAATACATAAATTTGCATCCGTGTTTTGTTTTTTTCGCCCGCAGAAATACACAACAAATTTCCTGGTGAAACACGTTAAAACAAAAAAATTACCGTGTCCCACTCTTGATTCACTCACGTTTTAATGCAGCGTGCTTATGCAGACCGGATTTTTTTTTTTTCCTACCGTTTTGCCTCTGCCGCCTCTCTCATCTCCATTTTAAATTCAGCCACAAAGAGGAGGGGAGAGGGAAAAAAAAAAAAAAAGTCAATTCTGTTCAGACATGTTATTATTCCACAATTTCTATCCTCTCATCCAAAAACATGCTGTGAAACCCCTTGACATTCATTATCAGGATGACATGTTTTTCACGCTGGAGACAAGCAGTTTCGGCCATTAAGTCCGAGGGTAGGTCATCGGCTCGACACTTGGGCCGTCTGACAGGGACACAAGTGTTTTTTGTTGTGTGACCAATCAAACCATTTGTCACAGGAGGAGGGTGTCTCGTCTTAAAGGCGGCGACTCCAGCAGCTAATATAAGTGACTTTTTGGTCCGCTGGTTCCAAAAAAGAAAAAACCTCCAACACCACACGTATTGATTTAAACTGAGACGTTGGAGCAGGTGTAAACCAACCAGCAGATCCTGTGTTCTTCTACTAGTCGGGTTGTGTTTTAAGGCGTTCTGGTAGTGCATTATGTTGTCTGCGCAGCTTTTCGTTGTCCAAGATTTCTGTCATAGCAGTCCTGAAATTGTGGTAATCGTGTTTTTTTTTTCTTTTCTCAGGGTGTCCCCAAACCTGTTGCAATGGAGCCATGTTCAGGAGGGAAAGCGGCTGTGTTGACCGTCCTCATGCGTCTGCCCTCTGGGCCCTCAGGCTTACCTCCACCTGGACAGTCAGGTAACTGGTCTGAAAGCTGAGCTCAATTAGAGAGAGAAAAAAAAAACAACATTCATATGGTTGAAGTGTTCATGATTGTTTTTGGTTCCCTTCTCAAAGCGCACATGGTAGCATCGCTGTAATGGCTTTCACCTTGTGAGTGCGTCTGTCTGTGTCATCATGACAAAACGCTGAAGACTCCCGCTGTCACAGAAACTACCACAAAGGCAATTTCGAAGATTTCGCCAGGTGTTTATGTGTCTGTCTGTTTGTGGACAGGTTTTGTCGTCCCGGTAGATGTGCAGCTGTGCGAGATGTGGGCACGAAACGTCACGGGTGTATAGTTGAGTTTAAAATAAAGGTGGAGTCTTAGTAATTAATAATAATCATCCATCCATCCATCATCTATACACCACTTAATCCTCACCAGGGTCGCGGGGGGCTGGAGTCTATCCCAGCTGACTCAGGGTGAAGGCACAATTTAGGATCACCAATTAACCTCAACATGTTTTTGGACTGTGGGAGGAAGCCAGAGAACCCGGAGAGAACCCACGCTACACGGGGAGAACATGCAAACTCCACACAGAAAGATCCCGAGTGTCCTCACTGGGACGCGAACCGGCGACCTTCTAGCTGCGAGGCAACAGTGCTAACCACCGCACCACCTTGCAGCCCCTAATAATAATCATTTATTTCAAAAAACACTCGTAAATATCTCCATTCACACTGACACGTCTGAGTACTGGAACAATAAAAGTGAGACTTCACTGCTGATCTTGTGCACGGCGGTGGCACCACCATGCAACATCCAATCACAATGCTCCACTGATGTGTAATTGAGATGAAACTAAAGACCAATTTCTTTTTCTTCTTTTCTTCAAGTGTGTTAAAACATAAAAGCAGCACATTTCCTGCAGTCTGTGACATTAACCACTTTTTTTTTTTAACGTGTGCTTTGTGCTGATGAATGTTGTTGAGTCCACTTGACAGCATGAACTGTGTCTGAATTCATTATTTCAGCTCACCAACATGCTGAATTGTCAGACGGTGACATTTCGTTGCATACCGACAATAAGCGCAGCTTTTCTAAAAGCTTTTTTTTTTTTACATCCTAATGACCGGCGATGGTTGTAAACCTTTTTAACTCTGCCTCAGTATGTACGTGCCAGAAACACTGTTGTGTTGTTGGAATTAGTGGGAAACAAAGAGGTGCACTGAATGTCATGTCCTACCTCCATCCTGTGCACAACCAAAACATAGAGTGAAGGCACAGAACATACAGCCTGCGTCATGTTAAAACCATCTATGCATATATACGACTCCTCTTATTGCTAATGTTACCGATGAAGATGTGGTTCTTACAGATAGATAGAGGCTTTATTGGCGTTGTGCGAAGTGTGGCAGCAAACTATCAGCAGCAGTGCAACATGGAATACTCTATAAGAAAAATAAAGTAGAAGTCACCACTTCCTGTAGTTTGTGCTGGCCAAATGTCAGGTGTGTACGACATAACCCCTAGGAGGAGATGGATCTTGAAAATGGCCAAAAAATGAGCAAATATCACTTGGCATGTTCGTCATTTTTCCAACATGCCGGATTTCCTGTCGGGTTTACATAAAAGTACTGATGGACTTTTTTGTGCGTCCCGAGCTGCTACATATGTGTGCCGGATTTTGTAGCTCTAAGTCAGGGGTGTCCAATCCTGGTCCTCGAGAGCCACAATCCTGCATGTTTTAGATGTTTCCTTCTTCCAACACACCTGATTCACATGATCAGGATCATTATCAGGCTTCTGCAGAGCTTGATGATGAGCTGATCATTTGAATCAGGTGTGTTGGAAGAAGGAAACATCTAAAACATGCAGGATTGTGGCCCTCGAGGACCAGGATTGGACAACCCTGCTGTAAGTGAAGCATAGCCCTGAATACGACTAAATATTGTAGGGGGCAGTTGAGCCATGTTGCACTTTAGAGCTTGACACTGGTTAAGTTTTTTGTGCATCCTGACCTGCTCTACATGCCTACCAAATTTCATAGACCAAACATGCTTCCGATGGGACTCAATTGAAATTTTCAAGATGGCGCTGTGGAGCCATTGTGGCAGTGACATGTCCAAGTCCCTTTAAATATTGAGTTTTTCGCCAGCCCTGGTGTGTGTGACGATTCTGGTGAGTTTTCGAGAGTGTTTAGACCCTCTAATTTGAGTTTCTAAGTTGGTTTCAAAAGGCTCCTTGCACTGGTGTGCTCAGACCCTCATGAAGTGAATTTTAAAAGAATTTAGCTCCATACATATATGTACAGTAACTAGATAAAACAGTGCACATAGTGGAGTGCAAAATAGTGCCAAGTAAACAGGTGATCTCCACAGGAAAGAAGAACTACAAACATTTGAAATGTATCTGTTATTTTAAACTGAACTTAGTTGCCCGTCTTGACCACTCTCCTCCTCTTCTCCCTGTTATTTTTTTTCTCTCTCTTCCTCAGGTCTCATCGTTGCCAGTGCGCTGATAGACATTTCACAGCAGAAACCGTCAGATTTTAAGGACAAGTCCCAGGGTTTAAAGAACCGAAAAGCCCTCCCTCCGGCACACCAAGGCACCTGCGTCTGAGTCTCGACCGCTCGATCTCTTGGGGTCCCATCCGAGGTGCTCCAGCGTGTCGCCGTTGGACGCCCTTTCAGAGACATGAACATGACTACATGTAGAAGATTTCATCCGGCTGCTAGCGCTCAAGTTTTCACGTTCCAAGAGCACAACCTCCGTTACCTTTCCTGCCTCGTTTTTTTGTTTCCCCCCTCCTCTTCTCTGCAAACCTCAATCTCCAACTTGTGTACAAACCTCCCTTGCGGGGCCCGAACTCCCTCAGCTTGGCCAGTCATCATGGCAAAGTTAAGTGTCTGTATGAGGTGGACACCTGCCGGATCAGTGGCTGGTAGAGTGACAGATTACTAAGGAGGATCTGAACCTATTGAAGCTTATGTGACACCATCCATTTGCACAGCATGAGGGGAAAGCAAAGGTGTCTGTATATTCAAACTGATTTCCCTCAAACGGAGCGGACGATTGAAAGCGGCTGGTAGATCTCCAGCGCGTGCTGCCTCTACGGTTTTTGACCTTCTTTTTGCTTGCCAACAAGTGTTATTCTATGGTGCTAAAGCATTTATTTTTTATGACGAGCTTGACTCAGCCTTTGCTGTATGGACTGAATTCATTCTGCCTTTTGTTTTTTTTTTCGTTGTGAAGGAAGCTACGCGCACAGACTCGTCGTCGACACCCCACAAGAGTTTCAATACCACTTTGTTAGCTCCCATTAAAGCTCCGTTTCTCCTGTACATACGTATCATCCACCCAGCTGAAGCTAAAGTCTGTATTTTCTGTAGAATACATGTACAAACGCTGCAGAGACGTGACTGCTTACCGGCGTGGGCGAGGACCACGGAACCGGAGGAACAAAATCATCCATCATCAAGCTAAAGCATGGACATCTCCCAAACCCTACAGAAAAGTTCGATTAGCAAACTGGAAGTTTCATTTGTTGCTGGTTTTTTTTTTTCCAGTGTGTTGAGGAAGTAACATAACGCAGAAAAAACACTGAAGCTCTGGTCGACTCTTTACTGTAATTTTTGCTGTTGCAACGCGGACGTTTCTGAACTCGCCCTTGGATTGATGACATTTAGGAGAAAAGACCGTCTGCTTCATCAAATTAGCCCAGGGACGTCCTGCTCCCTCCTCTGGCTGTTTACTACTTTGTTTTCTAAGTTTTTTTTTTAAAGCCGTTCTCTGAAGCTACGACTTTATTTCGAGTACAAGAGGTTTCATGACCTTTTTTTTTTTTTTTATACCGCCTTGGCTTTCCATGAGCTCCACGAGGGCGACGTGTCGATCGGCAGAATTTTCAAAGCTGTACAGTGTCTTGTTGGAACAAATGTGAGTCTTTGTCACTCTTATCTCTTGAGGTTTCATGTGTTTTGTCAGGTTTTTACGACAGAATGGCGAAAGATTATCCTTTATTTTAGGCCTTGTCACCTGATACTATTATATCTATGATAAAACTGTCTTTTGCTACACTTGTGAAAAGAGCATTTCTGTTGATAATTTGTTTTGATATTTAACAGATTCCTGTGTAATAGCACATTTAACTTGATTTTATCGTCGACTTCAATCGGTTGTGTTGAACTCTTTTTTCCGAATCGTGCATCTTTGAGGACTCTACGGGCATTGTCTTGCTTTTTTGTCGCAAAAGTGGTCATTCTGATGCATTTCACGAGAATGGTGTGCCAGCCGGCTAATGTGTTTTTACGTTTGTGTTGGGAGAGGAATCCTATGAGGGTGTCATTACACAGGAATCGGGGTCTCAATGTACCGTGAAAAAAAAAAAAAGATGAGAAACTGCATATCAGTAATCTTCAGTGTATTTTAAAGATGGACAACATGCCAGAAAATAAAAAAAATACAAAAAAAAAAAAAACACAGACCTGGAACGCTTTTGTGCCATCAAGTCTTTTTATATATGCTGCTGGAAAAAGAAATAAGATAAAGATGTTGCTTAAAAAGTCTCTAGTCATTGGCTATGATTTATATCCCATAATAACTTGACATGAGGGCTGATTTATGTTTCATGAGGAATGAATGAATGAAATGGCCTGTTTTTCTCCCCATTATTATATTGAAATCATATATATAGTAACTGTATTTTGACAGATTACTGATGTATGTAGATGTAACATTCAACATTTTTGCCGTAAAAAACATCAATAATTACACATACAGTAAGATATATTTTTAAAAATTTGTAAAATTACACAACTAAAACTTTTATTTATCACTAATTCTGTATAACTTTATAAATATACAAACAATATTAAACTGGAATTTACCAATTTCATCTATTAATTAAAAAGGGGGAATATTTGTGATATTGCAATAAATTTGGGAATATATTTTAGGAGTAAAAAATAATTTTAAATGATGGTTAATCACAGATAAAGACTTTTGTTTTTTACACAATATTCTTTTATATTAGACGTGTAAATTCAGTCCATTTTTGGGAATCGTATGGCGATATATATGTTAAAAGAAATCTAAAAGATGGATTTTCCATAAAATAGGTTTTTAAACTAATTTTATTTTTTATACCAGTGAACAGACAGAATGGACTCATGGTGACAAATTAAAGGAAAAATCAACATGATGTCAAATCAAATCAAACTTTATTTGTACAACACTTTTCATACACTAGAGCAACACAAAGTGCTTTACAGCATTTAAAAACATAGGAAAAGAAAACAAGAACCCATCCCTCACACCCTCCATGTATACACACACACACAAAGCTACAAACGCACTCATACACACACACACACACACACACACACACACTCACCACTGGACTTAGGGAAGCATGGCATGTCACTGAGGATTGTGGGAAATGCTACCATTGGGGCCGTCCACACCGGGAGGATTCGCAGACCATGACCACTGGGGACTCTGGCACCCGGGGACCCCCACACCAAGGTGGGAAGCCCCCCAACCAGCCGGGCCGAACTGACCCGCAGACAGAACCCCCAGCAGCAGAACAGACACAGCCCCCAGTGTGAAGGACCCCCCTAATGAAACACTAGAAACTAAAAACTTTACAGAATTAAAGGCTCTATGAAAGATTAAAAGAACAAAATACATAAGATTAAAAAAAATTAATGATAAGAATGTAAAAAGAATCTAAAAGGTCAATTAAAAGCCTGATTAAAGAGGTGTGCCTTTAATCTTCTATGTGTCCTAGTTGGGCCGCTGCATGCTGCCAGATCAGCTTCAACGCACCTTGATATTGATTCTCTGAATCTCTGTAGCTCTGCTGAAGCGCTGAAGCACCATTCCTGTAAAAGGTATTCCCTGGGCCGCCACTTTAGCTCACCTGGTTGAGCTGGCGACCCATGCACAGGGGCTGTAGTCCCCGATGCTGCAGTCATGGGTTCGGATCCTGTTCATGGCCCTTTGCTGCAAGTCTTTCCTTGTCTCTCTCGACTGTCCTATCTAATAAAGGGGGGGAAAAAAATTATATATATATATATTCCTTCATGATGGTGGTGGAGAACATTGCTTCATCATGTCAGTCCAAAATCTCCCGTACGGTTGAGATCTGATGCCTGTGAAGCTGTAAAACCATTCAGCGTCTCCTGGAGGAGACTCCCACCATCAGGACGTTCCATCATGAGATAAAGCCTCTGAGGCTCCCTTTCCTTCCCGTTAGGAGGACACATGGAGCTAAATGCCTCCTGCATCGTAACACCATCCCCACATTACTCACAGTACAATCCTCTGTGTGTCTACCTGCCTCAAAAATGTTAACCTCTAATTTGTAATTGCGTTCTGGGGGTCACTGTTCAATGGAGGCTGATTGCCTCCGCTGAAGATAATTGGTCCCTTTGAAAGTGAATAATAAAAAAAAATCCTCAACCTGAACCTTTGCTGTATTTGATGTCCGTGCAAGATGATTATTACAAACAGGCGTAATGATGGTGGACGCTGCTCCAAAGCTATAATATGTACATCAAACTGGCCTTTTAAAATGTGTACTATAGTGTCTTTACTTATCTAAACAGCTTTATTATACACAGCTGAGTCAAACACTGAATTACAATACAGCCTATTAAAAGATTACAACATGTCCTAAATGGATGTGGAATAAAGTTATATGCACAAAGGCACAAAGGTCACATTCATATTTGGATTTTAAAGTTGACTTTTATATACATAAATTTGCATATACATCTTTTTTTTTTCTCTCTCTCTCACAAATGACATTGCAGACATTCCAGCGAACCCCTCGCTCTAAGTGGTTTACATCTAATCTGTATTGTAGCGGCCCCGATAAGACGCCGCGGCCCTTTAAATATTCAGCCCGCACGCTTTCAGATCAAACAAAATGCAAAGTGATTCAGTGGAGAAGGTGGCTTAATTAGACGCATTATAAAAGCAAATTATGCTTCAGGACTATTTAAGCTATAGACAACACGTCAACGTGAAGGTGTGGGAAACTCCAAGACAAGCGCAGTGTGGTGAATGACATTTTTCATTTATTTTAATTTCCTCCTGCGGGGTGCACCTGAGGCCAAACATGTGACAGAAGACGCTGCTTTTTGAAGTTCAGCCCGATATTAAGAGGTTTGTCCTTCGGTGTGCAGCCTTTTTTTTCTTTTTTAGAGAGTGCTTGTGCCTCCTCTTCAATGTCAACGATGTGCATTTGATTTGAACGAGGATGTAAAGAAAAGAGATGCAGCCTGCCAAAGTGCTCCTGTGGATAATCCTCACTTATACTCAACAGTGTACTTATTAGCTGCAGGCGCTGTTGGAGAAAAGCCACGAGTCCCCTAAAGGAGTGTTCGCCATGTGGATGCCAAAAGCTCGATTAACCCATTTGCTGCTTCCATATAGTACAAAGATTTTCCTTTCACATTTATGATTTAAGACCCTTTTAGACCATTTATTTCAGCGTATCCTGCTTGTTTTTTTACCTTCTCAAGTGCCAGGAATGCACTCTGAGCCGAGGACTTTCTGACCTGAGCTCCCCTCAGTTTGCTAAAAGTGAATCTGCATGTGTGTGTGTGTGTGTGTGAGTGTGTGTGTGTGCACTTCCAGCATGTTAAAGGGAGGTGACAGCTCTGGAGGTGACAGGTGGTCTTAAGGCTCTATTGTCCTTTGCAATTTCGGTGCCACTTGTGGCTGCCAGCCGTACATGCAAAGTGCTGCGCGACTCCCATACGTACCCTCCCGCTCTCTCTCCGCCGCTGTCGACAATGGACGCGATGAAAGGTCTGAAGAAATTAGTGCATTAGCGCCATTTGGTGCAGCAAGCCGAGTCACGTAATGATTTACCGACATGAAAGGTGTGAAAGGAATCGCGCTTGAGTTGGCTTGACTCAGGTAAAAAAGAAAAAGCATACTTTCTTCTCTGAGGTTTATATAGATG